TCTCGTACACCTGCAAACTTTCTAAATCGAGCCAAAAGATCAATTTCTTTTTTTAATCTCGTTACACCGAGAGCGATCTCATTAACTTTTAAACAAAGATCGAATTTTCGCATTGTACTGCTTTAGGGTATGGGTCAGTCGCTCGTATGTGACCCACATCGACCGAGCGGGTGTGCTTTCATTTAAGGAATGATTTACGGGCAACCTGAAATCTTCTTAATCCGAAAGTGGGCACTGTGTACATAATTTCGCGCAGAGGATGTATGGTCCAATCAACCACCTTCTGAGATTCTGGACGCGTACCATCAGATTACAGTTAATACCTTTTGATTCTTCAATCCGGGAGCTATTGGGATTTGTTGCGTTTTATCAGATCGAATTAAATTAGGTGTTTTGTGTTGGGTTTACAAGACGCGTACAATACGTTGCATTTACATAATGTTAAGGAGTCGCTAATAAACATAAATATATATCTATATAGAATTTTTGTTGGCGTTATTTAATTTATGCGTCCATCTATCGGCCGAAGATCTATCGTAATGCGATCTACGAAATGAATTTCTGTTCTCGTAAGCACCTGTTCACGTAAAACTGTGGGACACTCATCAGAAATGCATAACGTTTGTTCTGATCCGGAGAGCGTCGTTAAATTTATTTATGCTTCCAATTTAGATCTAAATCATCTTATTGCACTCGCGGCTTGACGGGCCTCAATCGGATCTCATGTTGAAGTAAATATACAAAATAGATTACCCTTCGCAGAAAGAGAGACCTTTGTTATCCATTCCTGTAAGGGGAAATTTTCAATTTTTTCAGATCTTGCACATTGCTATTTGCTGCTTCGAGTTTTCCCATTCTTCAAATGTTTAATATTTTTTAGTTCCTCAAAATTCTTCACATCCTTCAAATTTTTTTGATTTTCCAAATTTTTTCGATTCTTCAAATCCTTACAATTTTTCCGATCCATACAGCCCTTTAAAATTTCTGAGTTTCGGTTTCTGCAATATCTTCCGATGTTTTAGATTCTTCAAATCATTAATATTTTTCTTTCATAAATTATTCTGATATACCAAATTCTTCAAATCTTTAATATTTTCCAGGTACATAAGATTCTTAGAATTTTTAATATTCTTCAGATTTCACACATTTTTTTTATTTTTCCTATTCTTCAAATTCTTTTAAAATTTTTTTTATTCGGATTTGTAAAATTCTTCAGATCCCAAAGATTCTTCAAATTCATTGAATGTTTCAGTTTCTTCAAATATTTCAGATTCTTCATTAAATTCCACAAATATCTGAAAATATTCCTCCCAGTTTTTTTAACTTTCCCAATAAATTCTTCACGCCCTTTAAATCATTTAAATGTCTAAGATTCTTTGAATATTTCGGTTTCCTGCAAATTATTCCAATATACCAAATTCATCAAAGCTTAAATGTTCTTCAGTTCCATAAGTTTCTTTAGATGGTACAAATATTTCTGATCTTTCAGATTCCTCATTCAAATTTTTTATTCCGTAAATCTTTCAAATTTTTGAGATCTAAAAGATGCTTCAAAAATTGTTCCAATATTTCAAATTTAAATCGTTAATCTTTCAGTTTTATAAATAGGTATAGATTCTTCAAATTTTTTGATTTTCAAATTTTTCCTTATTATTGAGGTCCTTACAAAAATGTTTCATATTCCTGATTTTTAAATACTTTAAATTTTTCAGTTTCCGAAAATTAGTCGATATTTCAGATTTTTCAAATCATTAATGTTTTACAGATCCATAAATTTCTTCAGACTCTTCAAATGTGTTTTTTTTAAGTTTGTTGATTCCTCAGATGCTTAAAATTTTTCAGATCTATAAGTTTCTTGAAATTCTCCGAAATTTTCATTTTCTCCAAATTATTTGAATTTTTCAGATTTTTCAAATTCTTGGGATTTTTAGAATTTTTTTTGATTCTTCAGAACCTTTAATTTTTTCAGATTCAAAAGATTCTTTACCCCTAGGAGTACCCCCCCAGTAAACGAAAATTCAACGACCCTAACTCTGAAATCATCATTACACTATGAGATTATTCGTATACTTATGTAAATGAAGTCTTCGTATGCTGGGGTATATTGGCTGGGGGGTATGGAGCTGGGGGGTATTCCATACCCCCAAAACCCCCCGGTGCTACGTTCGATGTCGTTAAAAACTGTAATGAGAATGATTAGGCAGAAGGCAAATGCAACACCGGAGAGTCTGGGGGGTATGGAATACCCCCCAGTAAACGAAAATAAATGACCCTATCCCTGCAATCATATTGGCTGGGGGGTATTCCATACTCCCCAGACCCCCCGGAGCTACGTTCGATGGCGTTTTACTAAAAACTATAATGAGAATGATGAGGCAGACGATTTTGGTGGCAAATGCAACACCGGGTACCGGGGTCCATACCCCCCAGACCCCCCGGAACTACGATCGATGGTGTTTTACTAAAAACTGTAATGAGAATGATTGAGCAGACGATTTTGGGGGCATATGCAACACCGGGGGTATTCCATACCCCCCAGTAGACGAAAATTCAATGATCCTATCCCTGCAATGATATTGGCTGGGGGGTATTCCATACCCCCCAGACCCCCCGGAGCTACGTTCGATGGTCTTTTACTAAAGTAAACGAAACGAAAATTCAATGATCCTATCCCTGCAATGATATTGGTTGGGGGGTATTCCATACCCCCCAGACCCCCCGGAACTACGTTCGATGGTGTTTTACTAAAAACTGTAATGAGAATGATTGAGCAGACGATTTTGGGGGCATATGCAACACCGGGGGTATTCCATACCCCCCAGTAGACGAAAATTCAATGATCCTATCCCTGCAATGATATTGGCTGGGGGGTATTCCATACCCCCCAGACCCCCCGGAGCTACGTTCGATGGTCTTTTACTAAAAAACTGTAAATGAGAATGATTGAGCACACGATTTTGGGGCAAATCAACACGGGGAGCGGGGGTAATGGAATACCCCCCATAAACGAAAATTCAATGATCCTATCCCTGCAATGATATTGGTTGGGGGGTATTCCATACCCCCCAGACCCCCCGGAACTACGTTCGATGGTGTTTTACTAAAAACTGTAATGAGAATGATTGAGCACACGATTTTGGGGGCAAATGCAACACCGGGGAGTCTGGGGGGTATGGAATACCCCCCAGTAAACGAAGATTCAATGACCCTATCCCTGCAATCATCATTATCACTCTGAGACCACTCGTATACTCATATAAATAAAATCTTCGTATGCCGGGTCGAGGGGTGTATTCGCTGGGATGTAATTCATACCCCTACGAGCCCCCCCCCCCCCCGGTGCTTCGTTAGAAGGTGTTTTACCTCATGTTTTACCGAAAAGTGGTACGAAAATTCAATGATCCTATCCCTGCAATGATATTGGTTGGGGGGTATTCCATACCCCCCAGACCCCCCGGAACTACGTTCGATGGTGTTTTACTAAAAACTGTAATGAGAATGATTGAGCACACGATTTTGGGGGCAAATGCAACACCGGGGAGTCTGGGGGGTATGGAATACCCCCCAGTAAACGAAGATTCAATGACCCTATCCCTGCAATCATCATTATCACTCTGAGACCACTCGTATACTCATATAAATAAAATCTTCGTATGCCGGGTCGAGGGGTGTATTCGCTGGGATGTAATTCATACCCCTACGAGCCCCCCCCCCCCCCCCGGTGCTTCGTTAGAAGGTGTTTTACCTCATGTTTTACCGAAAAGTGGTACGATAATGATCACGCAGACGGTTTTGGGTAAAAATGCAACACTGTGTTGTGGGGTCTGAGGGACATGGACCTCCCCTCCTCCCCTCCCTGGTAAAAGGAAAATTCAACTGGTTTTCAATAACCCTTAAGAGCTGTTAGTAATATTTACTGCTATGTAATGTCCCCATACTCTTTATGATATTAAAGGTCTTCTTATTTTATCAAAGGATTTTTAAGAGAATCTAAGAACCTCTGAGAATAGATAAAAGAAACCAAAAATTCGTAAATACGTTTTAAAGAACATTTACGGAATTGTCTTGAGCCTTTTAGGGTTCTTATAAGGGAAAAGCCCAAGAGTCTATTAATGTTTTAAAACTCTTTACAAATTTGTAAACGGATCTGGGCCTTGAAACGTTTTCAAGAGACCCCAAATGACATCAAAGGTCCTATACAGTCCTTGAAATCTTCTTTTCCCTTTACAATGTAGGTACCTAAGCTTTTACCAATAAGAATTTTAAAATTTCTCCAATGGACTTTTAGAACCCTATACATGCCTTAATAACTTTTTTTGGGATTTCATGCGTCATTGAGAGGTTTTAGTAGTCTGTAAGGGTCTCCATTAGTGACCTTTCTAGATTACTTTAGGCTTTGATCATTAGATCGTATTATGATATCAGACAAGCATCATACAGTAGAAAATGCCTTCACCTCTCGATTCTCATTAAATTTGGGCTATTCGTCCTAAAATTGAGGTCTCAATTTTCAGACCAGACAACGAATCGGCAGAAGGCACACGTAAAATTCTATTCACACCGCGATTTTTTTAATACACCCAACGGTTTCTCGACGAGGAATTACCGCAATAACCCGAAATTCCGAAAAACGTTCACACAAATGTTATATTAGCCATAATTGCAACTACCTGTTTAAATTACATAATACCAACGAGAATTGCATCAATTTAGATTCATAAAATGAAGGAATAATTGCGGGTAATCTGCGTTCCCAAAACTATTTATTGCGGGCGTACTTGTAAACGTTTTTTTTTCACGTTACATTTTAATTACCCGGGGGTAATTTGAAAAACTGGGCGCCCTTTTTGCGTAAGGTCACCGGCTGAAAGGCCCACGCCGAAGCCGGGGGCATTATGTCTTCGCGTAGGCAACAGAAATCACGATCTTCGACATGAAACCTATGTCTATATATGCTTTATGAATGTTATTTTGTAATAATTCCCTTCTTTTTGTTTCAGGTAATGAAGATTCATTGCGTTTCCACCTTCTCGACGTACAAGGTATTGTTTACTTAACTCTAAAAGTATCGATTTGCTTCACAGTAATTTGTTACGTAACGGAACGGTCACTGAAACACTGAAATATAGTCTCTTAAAGCTTAAAGGTCCTTCAGGGCTCGTAAAAGCTCCTTAAGGGTCCCATCGAGGTTCGACTTTTAAAGGCTTTTATGGACCAAGGTTCATAAAGACTAATAATCTCTTGAACGCTTCTGAAGACGTTTGGGGACATTTAAAAACTCTTGGAAACCCTTTAAGTCTCTTAAAAACCCCCAAAGACACAAAATCTCTTTAAATCTCAAATCGACGACCCTTAGAGGTTCTTGGAGTGGACTTCTAAAATCTCTCACAGGTCTAAAGATGTATAAACATGTTTAATGACCTGCTATAGTATATTAAACTCTTAATGTTACCCTTAAGGCCTACCAAAGGATCCTAAGTGTTTAGCTCTTCAGAACCCGAATAGAAGAAGTCTAAAAGCTGCAAAGAAGCATAAATAGGAAGAGAAAAACAAAACTTAAAATCAGGAAATATCCAGAATCCAGAATTGAGTATTGAAGCATGAGATTAACACCAGCAAATGGCGGATTCTGAGAATTTAAATTTGAAGAAAGTTTCAAGAATCTAAAACAGTCGAAGAACCTGAAGAAACTGAATGATTTGAGTAATAAATGAATTTAAAGAACCCAAAGAAACAATATCATTGGAAAGCACTTGCCCAAATCTGCTCTATCCTGACCTATGTAAACCCTAACCTGACCTAACCTGCCCTAATCTGCCCTAACCTGACCTAACCTGACCTAACCTAATCTGAATAGCCATGTCCAACGTGAAATAAGTACACATGATATAAAGAATTTTATACCAGGAGAATATACTGATAAATCGTGTTATCATTATTTTGTGGGCCATTTCTCTTATTTACCCCTATTGTGAAAATCAAGCAACTTAAACGTTAAAATTTGTGATACTAATGGCTACAATTATTGCCAATAAGGGACTTGTAAGAGCGTCGGAGAAACTGAGTGCAACTAATAAATTTACGTATAACATTGATACAAACTTGCATTCCACATACTTTCTGGAATATAACGTTAATTAATTATCGCCGTAAAAATATTGCACAGTTCTGTTGCAATCTAAAGATGTCAATGCTCAATCTTAAGTAGATGAAAGTTGTTCGGTGTTGTGTGCGTATTTTTTTTTTGCTACGGCCAATTAATAATTCCTTATTGCAATGTCAGTGAAAGCCAAACCGCTTATGGTAAGAGGAATTATTGTTAATAATAACTCGCGTATAAGAAACGCTAACCATCGGCAATATTAATTTGTTACGCTTCCATATTAGCGCAAATTATTATATTTATTTCAAAGGAAGCCATTTGCTCATTTAATTAATGCGTTTACTTGGCTGCCAACTTAAAAAGCTCGTCCATTGAGCGAGCCGCACGCTCGGCTAAAACAATTAACTTTGCCGATTAACTTTGTGCAAATTTGCTCGAAAAAGGCTAAGACAAGTTGAGAATGGGATGTTCTGGACCCATTTAACACCGTACAATTATCGGATGAAGTGCTAAAAGCATTTCGAGTGTCTAATTTACGTCGGGCTAATAACGAATTCCCAAATTGATTTTAAAATGTGACAATTAATCGAAATTTTAAGACACACTTTCGAAATACCAACGTTCTCATGTTATAAAATCTCGCCATATACGTCACGTCAGCTAGGATTTAAATATTTTGACATTTCTAAATGTCACAAACCACTTAAAAGAAGAAAACAAGGCCACAATTGTCCGTAGGGAACTGTGACAGCTTTCAAATTGAACCTGCAGAGTGCAGATTACCACAGGATGGAACCGCAAGAGAAATCCCGCCAAACCGAGAAACAGATAGGGCGAGGCGGTCAGTGAAGTTAAGTCGGTCACCTGTAATTCATCGTAGGGTGGTTTTTATTTTTGTGCGAAAGGAAGTGTGAAAGTCTATTGACAGGCAAATTTTCGTGTATTCTATTCTCCTGATACAGGCCATCTGGGATAAAAATTGATTTTATAGTAAAAAAAAGCGCCCTATCCAGATTCGTACCCTTCAACAAGACCAACCTTCCGTTTAAAAATGGCGTGTATTAGGACCAAAAAAGTGGAAGGGGGTCTTAAAATTGAACTTCCTTACCTTCAGTATCATGTTCTCCTGATTAGTATTTCACATTCACAAATTATTTAACAGGCTTCAAACGATGAAGGAGAACGTTAGCAGGATTACAAATTAACTGAAAGACACCTCCTCGCGCGTTTCAGTACAAATTTGTCTTTCACAAGCTGTTTTATGAGGGTCTTAGGAGCGCAAGAAGGTATTGAGTTTGTTGTCAGTTCCTTTCTGAGGTAGAAGTACAAACTTCTGTTTGAAAATGTCTTGAATCGGGATCGCAGCAACCTAAGGAAGTGTGAAAGTCTATTGAAAGGCAACTTCTCGTGTATTCTGTTCTCACGAAACAGGTCATCTGGGATAAAAATGGAGTTTATAAACAAAAAGAAGCGCCCTCTCTAGGTGCACACCAACCTGCCGTTTAAAAATGCTTTGCATTAGGATCACAAAAGCGGAAGAGCTCCTTAAAATTGAACTTCCAGGTACCTCTACGTGTATTCTGTCGTCCTGTTAACAAACTTCTCATTAAAAAATGTCCCTAGTTAACAGAAGCCCAAAATGGTGTAGAATGATTTGCTTCTAGATTCTTTGCGCTATATAATTCCCACCTATCACAGTCTTCTTTTCGAAAATGTTTTGTGTAGGAACAACAGAAGCTTCCCTGCCTTACCTTCAGTATCATGTTCTCCTGATTAGTATTTCACATTCACAAATTATTTAACAGGCTACAAACGATGAAGGAGAAGGTTAGCAGGATTACAAATTAACTGAAAGACACCTCCTCGCGCGTTTCAGTACAAATTTGTCTTTCACAAGCTGCTTTATGAGGGTCTTAGGAGCGCAAGAAGGTATTGAGTTTGTTGTCAGTTCCTTTCTGAGGTAGAAGTACATACTTCTGTTTGAAAATGTCTTGAATCGGGATCGCAGCAACCTAAGGAAGTGTGAAAGTGTATTGAAAGGCAACTACTCGTGTATTCTGTTCTCCTGCAACAGACCATCTGGGATAAAAATGGATTTTATAAACAAAAAGAAGCGTCCTCTCCAGGTGCACACCAACCTTCCGTTTAAAAATGCTTTGCATTAGGATCACAAAAGCGGAAGGGCTCCTTAAAATTGAACTTCCAAGTACCTCTTCGTGTATTCTGTCGTCCTGTTAACAAACTTCTCATTAAAAAATGTCCCTAGTTAACAGAAGCCCAAAATGGTGTAGAATGATTTGCTTCTAGATTCCCTGCGCTGTATAATTTCCTCCTATCACAGTCTTCTTTTCGAAAATGTTTTGTGTAGGGACAACAGAAGCTTCCCTGCCTTACCTTCAGTATCATGTTCTCCTGATTAGCATTTCACATTCACAAATTATTTAACAGGCTACAAACGATGAAGGAGAAGGTTAGCAGGATTACAAATTAACTGAAAGACACCTCCTCGCGCATTTCAGTACAATATTGTCTTTCACAAGCTGCTTTATGAGAGTCATAGGAGCGCAAGAAGGTATTGAGTTTGTTGTCAGTTGCTTTCTGACGTAGAAGTACAAACTTCTGTTTGAAAATGTCTTGAATCGGGATCGCAGCAACCTAAGGAAGTGTGAAAAGTCTATTGAAAGGCAACTTCTCGTGTATTCTGTTCTCCCGAAACAGGCCTTCTGGGATAAAAATGGAGTTTATAAACAAAAAGAAGCGCCCTCTCCAGGTGCACACCAAGCTACCGTTTAAAAATGCCTTACATTAGGATCACAAAAGCGGAAGGGAGCCTTATAATTGAACTTCCAGGTACCTCTTCGTGTATTCTGTCGTCCTGTTAACAAACCTCTCATTAAAAAATTTCCCCAGTTAACAGAAGCCCAGGATGGTGTAGTATGATTTGATTTCAGATACCATCTGTTCTATTATAACCTCCTGTTGCAACCTTCTTCTAGGTCATATTTTGTATATGGTGCACCTTCTTGTGCTATAGTCTGCTTAATTGCATGAAGAGGATAGACAATATTGTTAGATTTTATTATTAGGTACAACTCTCGTTAGAAGACTTCTTCGTAAGGATCTGGCCCTATGGCATTCTGATGCGTAGTTTTTAATGATTGTTGTATCAGGCTCGCAGAAAAGCAAGAACGTACGTTGGATTTATTTACAGACTGTTTGCCGTGCCTCAACGATTTTTATTTTCGTTTCGTATAATGAGATAACAGAAGCGTAAGGAGATGCCACGAGTTCTCATGTCATTGAAATTACGTTTTTAAGATCACAAAATCTAGCGCTTGCCGTTGAATTTCCTCCATTTTCTGGGTGAACTCCAATAACCCGTAGTGTAAAAAATTGCGGGCGCCTACAGTAGCGAAGTCGAGTAAAACAAATGCGTAAAAAAGCACGAACGAAAGTTTTTTTAGTGACCCTCATTCACAAGGAATAATTTACCGTTTAGAAACTATTACGATAAATACGAACAATAGCGGAAGTTTTAACCCAAACAGAATTAATATCGTGTGAAAAGATGGACCTAAGAGAATTAAAAAAAAAACACTGGAGTTTAGGAATGCTTTAAAAAGTTTCTAAAGGTTCCGCAGATTCTAAAAAAGTTCGAAGCGAGGGTTATAAAAAAAGTTTGAGAATATTCCAAAAAAGGCTGCAAAAGGATACTGGATATTCTAGAAAATTCGGAAAGAAGCTTTAAAATAGCAAAAAAAAGATATTCTAGAGACGGATATTTTGGATAAACATCGAAAAGACCTTGAAGGAAAAACACTAATAATTAAGGGATCATATCCACCTTCTAACGTCGATTGATCGAATAAAAGCCACAGATTTGGGATTGTCCATCTCACGCAAAAATCCGGAAAGTCGGAAAAACTCGACACCCCGGCA